TGTTCATGCGTACTTTTCTAAAGAACTTTGTTTCATCATTACAAACGTGTCTCCTACACTGAGAGTTGTCACAGCAGGAGTCAGGCTTATTTCTTGTTGGCACTTAATGCAATCACTTCCATCATTTTTAAGGTGTGGCAGTGGAAAACAGACCATTCTTGTGGGTTATTGACTACTATAAAGTGACTTCTGCTGTCTTAGAGTTAAAACAATCCAGTCCTAAGTGCATATGGTTAAAACAGATCAATTTGTACACAGGGTTCTGCTCATTCCTTCCCAAGGAAAATCTATTTCTTTAGATAGTTAATCAATGTCTTTAAATGATATTACTACATTGGGAGGTGGAATAGTGTGAGACTCTGTGCTCAAGAGACAGGAATCTGGAACTGGATTCTGGCTCTAGCACTAGCTGTGTGCTTTGAGTAAATTACTTAACCTCTTTGAGCTTTGGTTTTCTTCCTTATAGAATCATTGTGAGAACTAAAAGTAAGTGAATTCATACCAAGCAATTGGGAAGGTGCCTGGTGCAAAGCAGGGAGTCATCAACCACAATAGCTAACCAGTATTAGACATTGCATTTTGCCTTTTCTTGTTTTAAAATTTTGATATTATTTATTTTCTCCTTACTGGGAAAAATAAGGGTTTTATTTATTTTTATACATTTTCTTACATCCTTCCCCATCTTTTCCATATATCATTGTTTCACTAATTTTATATCCTCTATTAGGAAGCTTTGCACTTGTAAACATTTTGTTTACATATTTGTTTGTTACCCTCTCAACTGGAGTTACTATTTCTTGACTGCTTTCTTTGTAAACTCCTCCTCCCTTCAAAACTTCAGCTCCCAAGTTCTAGAAGTGCATTTTAATTTTTATACTGATTAACAAGTACCTCTACTTCTCAGTTAAATACTCTGTTTTATTTTAAAAGGTAACAATCATTTTATAATGTATATAAATGAAATACCAACGTTAAGATTTTTTTTTTCCATTTATTTTTTATTAGTTGGAGGCTAATTACTTTACATCATTACAGTAGTTTTTGTCATACATTGAAATGAATTAGCCATGGATTTACATGTATTCCCCATCCCGGTCCCCCCTCCCACCTCCCTCCAACTTTAAGATTTTTGAATCACTATACTGTACACCTGTGAATTCTAAAATATTATATATAGAGATATACCAAAAACACTTCAGTTTTAAAACAGTATCCAAAATAATCAAAATGGGAAAACCATAACTTGGACATACATAAGTTTGCCTTAGATTTAAAAAAAAATCAAACAAGAGAGTCTACATTTTGTGTGACATTTTAATACATTTTTTGAGAGTTAACTTGTGCCACATGCTTGTAGCATGTGCTTCTCGGCAGAACTTTAGTTTTTCCTGATGTTTCTAATTGGCTTCATTTTCACCCCTGCACTGTTTATCTTCAACATTTCCTCCATTTCTTTCCAACTGTGCCTCATGTGATACCGAGTCCCCTGTCACCACAGACTCTGGACTTCTTATCCCATCCTGGGCTGGTTTCTCTTGGGTCTGATGTGTGCCCAGCTACAATCCTTGGATTCCCTTCTAGCTGGCTTGGTGTTCCTGACTCCTGGATCCCACGTCTATCTCTCTTGTGGGTATCCTTTATCTTCCTCCATAATTACACAAACACACCACATATTGTTTTTCCTTGCACCTCAACTTCAAGTAACTTTCTGAAAAGGCTGGCGAAGAGTGAAGGCTGCTGTGAATATGGGATGGGACGTGGGGTTGGTGAGCTTGTCCCCTGCTCTCCCCTCGGCCTCCCTCTCATCTTGCTCCCTCTCTGGGGCCCTGCCCAGCAGACCAGTCTTCTCTCCTGTGAACAGGCTCCCTGTTTCTCTCCCTCTCCTGCACTCCTCTTTATTCAGCCATCACTGCTCCATCCAGTGAGTCTTCAAACATTTGTTGAAAACTCTGGTCTCCTGTTGCCCCCTGTTGCTTGCCTTTATTAGCAGCAGAGGGAGAAGAGGGAGGCTATGGTTCTTGACCCAGTGAGTGGGGAGGAATCCAGTCTACCAGGGGCAAGACTTCTGACCTTGGCCAAATCATAAACTTCTGTACTTCAGCTTCCTTATCTGAAGGTGGGGATACAATGTACACATCTCAAATGGAATAACACACAAGTTACCGTGTGTAAAGTTTCAGAGCCAAGACCAATGCAGAGCGACGACCACAAACACAAGGCACTCTTGCCCGCAGCTGTCATTATACCTGTGAGCACCTTTACATCCTTTCAGTCAGGTCTCAGGAGGAGGACTTGACAAAGGCTCTCTTGCTTTCTTAAAAGAGTAGCTAGATGTCATCAACATTTGCTTTCCTTCCTCATCTCCCATGGCAAGATAATCACATGCAGAACCAAAATAATTTTTTTTAATAATTTTTTTTTATATAGAGATCTGAGTTGTTTTTTTTAAAGACCACTGAGAATGGGAAAGTCTGAAAGGATGGATACCCTCATATATTATGAGTGTGAACATAAACTGCTGCAATTTCTTTGCATAACAGTGTGGCTGTAGGTATGAAAATTTTTTAGGCGTTGATGCCTTCTGCTTTACTAATTCTACTTCTAGAAATAGTTTAAGGAAACAGTCTCTAATGTGGGTGAAGTTTAATACAAGAAGAATGTTCTTTATTATTTACATAAGGTATTAGTGACAACCTAAAGCCCAATAGTCAGTGGAGGACAGCAGAGGACTCGGTACCACTTGGGGGTCCTTAGCCACTCAGAGCAGGAATTGGGGGTGGGGCTGGTTGGATTCCAGCCCAACATCCATTGGAACAATTGCCAACATCCATTGGATCATTGAAAAAGCAAGAGAGTTCCAGAAAAACACCTACTTCTGCTTTATTGACTATGCCAAAGCCTTTGACTATGTGGATCACAATAAACTGTGGAAAATTCTGAAAGAGGTGGGAATACGAGACCATCTGATCTGTCTCCTGAGAAATCTGTGTGCAGGTAAGAAGCAACAATTAGAACCAGACATGGAACAATAGATTGGTCCCAAATCAGGAAAGGAGTGTGTCAAGGCTGTATATTGTCACCCTGCTTATTTAACTTATATGCAGAGTACATCATGCAAAATGCTGGGCTGGATGAAGCACAAGCTGGAATCAAGATTGCTGGGAGAAATACAATAACCACAGATATGCAGATGACACCAAGTTAAAGACTCTGGTCTCCTATTGCTCCCACGCTTGTCTTTATTAGCAGCAGAGGGAGGAGAGGCAGGCTATGGTTCTTGACCCAGTGAGTGGGGTGGAACCAGGGTACCAAGGGCAAGACGTCTGACCTTAGGTAAGTCAGGTAACACCTAGGTGTCAGCTTCCTTATTTGTCAGTGAGGATACAATGGTACACATCTCAGAAGCTACTGGAAAAACACAGGAGGTGCCATCGGTAAAGTTTCAGAGCCAATACCAACGCAGAGCAATTACAAACACAAGTTGCTCTTATCAGTGAAAGTGAAAGTTGCCCAGTCATGTCTGACTCTTTGTGATCCCTTGAGTTACATAGCACATGGAGTTCTCCAGTCCAGAATACTGGAGTGGGTAGCCGTTCCCTTCTCCAGGGAATCTTCCCAACCCAGGGATCGAACCCACGTCTCCTGAATTACAGGTGGATTCTTTACACACTGAGCCACAAGGGAAGCCCAAGTGAGGCTGTTTCATAAAGAAAGCTGAGTGCCAAAGAATTGATGCTTTTGAACTATGGTGTTGGAGAAGACTCTTGAGAGTCCCTTGGACTGCAAGGAGATCAAACCAGTCCATCCTAAAGGAAATCAGTCCAGGATATTCATTGGAAGGACTGATGTTGAGGCTGAAACTCCAATACTTTGGCCACCTGATGCGAAGAACTGACTCCTTAGAAACGAAAGCTGATGCTGGGAAAGATTGAAGGCAGGAGGAGAAGGGGACGACAGGGATGAGATGGTTGGATGGCATCACAGACTCGATGGACATGAGTTTGAGTAAACTCTGGGAGTTGGTGATGGACAAGGAAGCCTAGCATGCTCCAGTCCATGGGTTGCAAAGAGTCAGACACAGCGGAACTACTGAACTGAACTGGTGGCACTTCAGGCGCTTTTGGGATAAAGGCTCTTGCAGAAGCAAGGAGAACCTGGCTGTGGGAGCTGTACCACCAGGAATTTATCAAGGCAGAGACTGGAGCATGGTGAGCAAGACATCATTTTAGAATGAGAAGAGTCATTTACCAATAAACACATATCCATGAGTAATTATTTTCATATATTAAAAGGAGTAGAGCATAGTCATCACAAATCTGGGGTCTGGATCAGAAAGACTTGGGTTCAAGTCTGGGCTCTGGTAGCAGGGTGAAGGAAATGGCAACCCACTCCAGTACTCTTGCCTGGAAAATCCCATGAACGGAGACAACTGGTAGGCTCTAGTCCATTGGGTCACAAAGAGTCGGACACAACTGAGCGATTTCACTTCACTTAACTTCAAGGTTAAATTAGTCTCAGGAGCCTGCACATCATAGACACTGGATCAACATCACTTATTACCAATTAATAACACAATTGCTCCAACTTTATGTAATTTCCAGAGTATTCTTTCCTCTCTGTTCTTCTGTCTCTGGTTTTATTACCCCTATAACTTCACAGATGGCTGTCTCCTCTGTGATTATCTTCTCCTTACACCCCAACAAGAGAATAGGACTCTGACTTGGAGGAAGTTGGAGGGAGATGAGTAACGTTCCTTCTCTAGTGACCTGCAGAGCCCAGGAGACAGAGAACCACGCTGGGTTAAGCCCCTGGCGGCGCTGGTGGCCATCCCAGGGGAACCCACCAGAGACATTGCCCCTCACTGCTCCCTGCAGTCACTGTTCACTTGTGATTGAGCTCACATTCTGTTTTCTCTTCCCCAAGGGTAAAGCCTCACCTCCTTCCAGCCTGACGCAGACAAGGAGCTGAACGGAGATCTCTGAGATCCTGCTGCTGCCATCATGAGCTCAGAAAACCTTGGAAACTGCACAGGTAGTCAGGGGCCTTTTTCTGGCCAGTTCCTACATGTGACCCAGAATTGAGGGGCATTCTTCCAGGCAGAGTTAACCTACAGAGGAATCAAGAACCAAGAAGAGGATGGATAAGCATCCTGGAGCCCCCAGAGGGGCCACGTGGAGTTCCCAATGGGGGAGTGTCCACAGAGCCTCTTTCCCAGTCCTCTCCTTGGGGAGCCACTAGCTAGGTGCTCACTTCCTTCCCCACTGCCCTCTAGCAAGTGACTCAGAAGTGAGGCCAGGACAGCCCATGGAGAGGGGGACAGCAGAGAGAGTCCACAAGGCCAGGCAGGGCAGTGAGGGGAGGTCATCCAGGGTCCCTGGAGCTCCTCCTACCCTCTCCCTTGGCTCAGCCTCCTCCTGCTCCCAGACCCTGGGGCATCACCGCAGACACCATTCCTTCAGCTCTCAACCTGCTGCCTGCCCAGCTGCTCTGTGAGGGTCAGTAGACCCTGAACTGAACCTCAGTCTGACCTTTGCCACCTCCCACCTGGAGAGGAGGGGTGAGGTTGTTCACAGGATCATACCTGGCTCCACCCCTCCTCCACCAGGTTGATCCCCTCCCCTGCCCATCCTGAGTGTCTCTGATTAGAATCCTCTCACATGGTAGTCTTACTCAATGGCAGATGGTCCTAAACCCTTTTTTAAAATTAGGTGATATCAGTTTATAATGTTCTATAAGTTTCACGTGTACAACATTATATTTCTACTTCTGTATATGCTGCAGTGTGCTGCTGTGTTCTGTGCTTAGTTGCTCAGTCGTGTCCAACTCGTTGGGACCCCATGGACTATAGCCCACCAGGCCCCTCTGTCCATGGGATTCTTCAGGGAAGAATATTGGAGTGGGTTGCCATACCCTCCTCCAGCTGCAGGATATTTACCACCAAAAATCACTTGCAAAAATCCCTATAGGTGTACTATATGGTAGAATGAAGAGATCCCAGGAGTTTAAAATAAGGAGGATTCAAAGTCATGTCCAAGAAGTGTCTGACACTTGACCTTGGGTTCCACCTCTGAGCTTTCTGCTCACTGGCCTTGGGCTATCCCTTCTCCTGTCTGAGTCACACTTTCCTCTTCTGTGAAATAAGAATAATGTCTCTGTGTGTTCATGTACCATGAAACGCATCTTACATCGTGTCCCAGCCACCCCCTCCCAACCATATATATATCTCCTATTTGCCTATATGTTACCTGTAATTCCATAACCTCTAGATCCCTGAAATAACACAGGGATTTTGGTAACTCATTCGAGCAGTGTACTGATCTGAGGCTATTTATTGTCATTACATTCTTTATCCCATTTCATGTGAATATTCTTTTGTTTCACTGCCAAAACATGAAAGCATTCATTTACAGGGTGCTGCCAGGCTCTGCTAGAAGTAGTAACTAACAAAACACATGCCCTGTACTCCTTTTTCTCTGTGTGGGTGTGTGTGCGCGTGTGCGTGCGCTCAGGTATCCAGTCATGTTCGACTCTTTGCGATCCCGGGGAATGTAGGCGCCAGGCTCCTCTGTTCTTGGCATTTACAGGCAAGAGTAGTGGAGTGGGTTGCTATCTCCTACTCCAGGGGACCTTTCCAACCCAGGGACCGAATCCAAACTGTTGTGTCCGCTGCATTGGCAGGCGAGTTCTTTACCACAGTACCACCTAGGAAGTCCTCCTTCTCTTTCTAAATGTTTAAAATTGTAGAATGCTGAAGACACCTAAATCCCAGGATTAGGTAATTATTTCTGGAGGTTTGAAAGTCCAAGATCACCAAGGTAGTTTCAGTTTCTGGTGAGACCTCTCCACCTGGCTTGCAAATCCTAACTGCCTTCTAACTCTGTCCTCACATGGCTTTTCCTTTCCGGGAGTGGGAAGGAATAGAGAGAGAATCTGGTGTCTTCTTTTTCTAATAAAGACAACAATCCTATTGGATTAGGATCCCACACTTATGACCTCTTTTTACCGCAATTACCTCCTTAAAGGCCCAATCTTTAAATACAGTCACTAGTAAGTTAAAGCTTCAACATATGAATTGGTGGTGACGGTGGGGGAGACAGTTCCATCCATAACCCCAAGTGACTCTGTCAAGAGTACCCTAGATGACCATTGCTCAGGAAGATGAATTTTAACAATTTATACTAAATACCATTTTTAAAACTTTGCCCTAGAATTTATTGCAGTTACCATATAATGATAACAAAAGCAGATCATTCTTAAGGCATCAAATTAGTTTATTAATTTAAGCAAAAATATTTGACCCCTGTCACACAAAGATATAATTCTGAAAGATTACAGCCAAGAATTGTGAGCAAATCCAGTATCCTTGGCCTCCGAAGGAGAGGATTTCTATCCAGGGCCAGAGATGAAGCTGGATCACTCAGAGCTTTTGTGTAGGAGAGTTTTATTAAAGTGTAAAAGGAATAGAGAACGCTTCTGACATAGACTTCAGTAGAGTACAGAAAGCATGCCTCCTTGCTAGTTTTTAGCAAGGTGTTGTACACCTGTTAGCAAGCTGTTAATCAAAAGAAATGCCTCAAAATAGAGAGTTGCAGCAGGCTCCTCTCCCACAACATTCATTTTGAGATAGAATGATACAAGGGGAGTCATCTCTGGCCATAAAGCAGTTGACATGAATCTTGAAAAAAGGCAGATTTCAAAGCAAATACATAGTTTCATTAACATAGCTTAAGAAAAACATTTCCATAAGAAAAATGCTTTGGTTAACTCAAGGTTTGAGAAAAAGTTAAGTTCGGGGGAAACAGATGTAGTCATGCAATGCAGAATTACAAGGAGCCTCCTTTAATCTTGTGTAGATAGAGGCAAAGAATGTTTGCCACTAGCAGTTTATTTCGCTTGGGGACCTCTGGCCTTCCTGAGTTCAGTTCAGTTCAGTCGCTCAGTAGTGGCCAACTCTTTGCGACCACATGGACTGCAGCATGCCAGCTTCCGTATCCATCACCAACTCCCGGAGTTTACTCAAACTCATGTGTATCGAGTCGGTGATGCCATCAAACCATCTCATCCTCTGTCATCCCCTTCTCCTCCTGCCTTCAATCTTTCCCCAAATCAGGGTCTTTTCTAAGGAGTCAGCTCTTTGTATCAGGTGGCCAAAGTATTGGAGTTTCAGCTTCAGCATCAGTCCTTCCGATGAATATTCAGGACTGATTTCCTTTAGGATGGACTGGTTTGATCTCCTTGCAGTCCAAGGGACTCTCAAGAGTCTTCTCCAGTGCCACAGTTCAAAAGCATCAGTTCTTCAGCACTCATTTTTCTTTATAGGCCAACATTCATACACGACAACTGGAAAAACCATAGCTTTGACTAGATGGACCTTTGTTGGCAAAGTAATGTCTCTGCTTTTTAATATGCTGTCTAGATTGGTCATAGCTTTTCTTCTAAGGAGCAAGTGTCTTTTAATTTCATGGCTGCAGTCACCATCTGCAGTGATTTTGGAGCCCAGGAAAATAAAGTCTGTCACTGTTTCCATTGCTTCCCCATCACTTCATAGTGATGGGACTGGATGCCATGATCTTGGTTTTTTGAATGTTGAGTTTTAAGCCAACTTTTGCACTCTCCTCTTTCACTTGCATCAAGAGGCTCCTTAGTTTTTCTTCGCTTTCTGCCGTAAGGATGATGTCATCTACATATCTGTGGTTATTGATATTTCTCCCAGCAATCTTAATTTCAGCTGTGCTTCATCCAGCCTGGTATTTCGTGTGATATACTCTGCATGTAAGTTAAACAAGCAGGGTGACAATATACAGCTTTGACACACTCTTTTTCTGATTTGAAACCAGTCTGTTGTTCCATGTCCAGTTCTAACTGTTTCTTCTTTACCTGCATACAGATTTCTCAAGAGACAGGTGAGGTGGTCTGATATTCTCATCTCTTGAAGAATTTTCCACAGTTTATTGTGATTCACACAGTCAAAGGCTTTGGCATAGTCAATAAAGCAGAAGTAGATGTTTTTCTGGAACTCTTTTGCTTTTTCGATGATCCAACGGATGTTGGCAATTTGATCTCTGGTTCCTCTGCCTTTTATAAATTCAGCTTGAACATCTGAAAATTCTCAGTTCATGTACTGTTGAAGCTTTGCTTGGAGAATTCTGGCCTTGCTACCTGACTATTAATTCTTTCATTCTGCCCTTTTCTTTTAGGAGAATATGGCTGCTAGGGAAAAGGGGTTTGGAATCTGCTCTGACTGCTTTGAGCTGGCCAGGGACAGAGATGCTAAATTTGGGGGCAGCATGTTCTCCTTACCCTCATATTGAGGGTCTCTGATCCAGGGGCCCCAAGTAATAGTTGAAGGAGGCTGTGGCAGTTGGAGGAGCTTGAACAACCATTCGTAACTTAAAAGCCTTAATGTGGCTAGAAACGAGTTGAACCAATCAATACATATATATTTGGAAACTATGCACCTGATGTGCTAAGTCGCTTCTGTCATGTACAACTCTTTGGGACCCCATGGACCCTACCCCCACCAGGCTCCTCTGTCCATGGAATTTTCCATGCATGAATACTGGAGTGGGCTGTCATGCCCTTCTCCAGGGGATCTTCCCTATCCTGGGATCAAACCCAGGTCCTGCATTGACAGGCAGATTCTGTACCTCTAGCACCACCTGTGTAGCCCAACTATGCACCTAGTATCATATTATACCAGAGATAAGGCTGCTGTCCTCACAGAGTACATGGATCATTGCTAATCAATCATTAATTTAGTGAATATCATGGAATATTGGGGAATATTGGAAAGCTAACAGATTTCTCTGGACATTGTTTATCTTGCCCGTTCTGAGAAACTTGCAGATCTAGATGAGATTAGTTTGGAAAAGGGGACTCATTTAGTTCAGAGAATCATCAGAGTCCAATATAGTTCTGGGCTAATCAGAGACTAAAGAAACTTTATAAGGAGAAGTAGGCTTGGAAATCAAGCACTCCTATTTTGAAATAGCATGTTCTAGCCAAAGGTATGGAAGTAATTATAATCATCAGGTAGGGATTGCTGAAATGTCCTCCAATGTTGAGTGACTACTAACATCCTATTTCCCACTATGATGATTCCTTGATGAGAGGTAGGAGGCATAAAGAATATTGCCAGCTATAAAATAAATGGTACTCCAATACCTATGATTGCTAAAAAGAAATATTTTTTTTAAATAGAAGAAACTGACAGAATCAAATGATTGCTAAGCAGAGCAAACACAGTGTACTGAAAACTGAGGTAAGAAACCTCTATTTACACAGGAAATCAATGGAAGGATAACTCATTTTAAGAGAAGAATCATTTTCCCATAGCCCCACTGCTATGAATGATATCTTCATGAGCCTGGCTGCCTTCTCTAGTGAATACCAGGGACCTATTACTGGTCCCAACCAACCAATTTCCATTCCGGCTTGGAGGGCTGCTGTAAACTACTGAAATTCCTCCTTGGAGGATGAATGGAGAGCTACTCCTTTTGTGCTAGATTCCTTTGTCATGGATCCTGTGGGTTTATTTCAATAGGATCTCTTCTGCCAACAACTATTACTTCTCCTTCATATAACAAAAAATTCAAATCATCGCTAACACTGACATTAGTGAACATTTCAATAATCACATCAACTTCTTTTCACCAACAGATTTCTTAATTTTATCAATATAATTAGCTTATTTGTGATTAAACACTTGTGAGCTGCATTTTGCAAAGCAATTTTTTGTCCTTCCTCAGCAGTAGCTGGCCCAAAATCTTTAAGCCATAAGCTCTAACCATTTGGAATACTACTCTTCCAGTTCCTCCACTAGCCCCAGAACACTTCCTCCAGCTTTCACGGACACTGTGGAGCAGACTCGATAAGCAGTAAAACACGAGATGCTGATGGCAGCTCCTTGCTTAAAATCCAGTTTTTCTGGCAGCGTGTGAACAGTGTGGTGGGCTGCCAGGGCAAACTCAGCGTAGCCCCCAGAGGTCATCCTGGTAGTGAATGTCACCTTTCTTGAAAGCAGATAGGTTCTCTCCAGCAGCTTCTACTATCCCAGCCACACCTCAGCTAGGAGTATAAGGTGGAAGTGGTTTTATACTGTGAGTGCCAGAGCGGATCTATGTGTCCACTGGGTTTATAGTCTTTCAGAATTGGTATAGCAACATCCAACTGGAGTTTCAGCATTTCAGGTCCACCAAATTAAAAAACTCAAATAGCTCTCACCAACTTCTACCCTGTCACCATAGTAATCTAGATACCTGATCTAGACTGGAAAATCAAAATCTGCAAGCCCTCCTCCAGATTCCACAGGGTTAAAAAAAAAAGCTACTCAATACCATTTATTATCCACCACACATTTTTCTGGGCTTTCCCGGTGACTCAGACACTAAAGAATCTGCCTGCAACACAGAGACCTGGATTTGATCCCTGAGTCGGGAAGATCCCCTGGAGGAGGGAACGGCTACCCACTCCAGTATTTTTGCCTGAAGAATTCCACGGACAGAGGAGCCTGGCGGGTCCATGGGGTCACAGAGTCAAAGAGCACTGAGCGACAAACGCTTTCCCTTTTTCACTTCACCAGTTCTAACCTTATTCCCTTCCTCTCATCTAGATATTGAGATCTTTTTTGAGGAAGTCGCTGAGTGTCTCTGGGACACACTGAGCAGGGAGGAACTGCTTCTCCTGCTGACTGAATTCCTGAGGAAAATTGAGGCGAAGGCTGGTTTGTCCAGGTAATCTGCACAGGTGTATCAGGAAGGTCACCCACAACCCCCAGCACCAGGCTAGTTTCCTCCTGGCAGGCACACCTCCTCCAAGCAGGACCCTATGGTGGGGGCTGAGGATGTTCCTTCTCAGCATCTCATGAGGAATGCTTCCTCCATGTCATTTGCTGGCAGTGAACAACCGTGAACTGAGAAAAGATGAAACCTGAAAGAAAGGAGCAGGTTATGTGACCATGGACATGTTACTGAACTACGCTCTGCTTTAGTTTCTTCATCTGTCCAGTTAAACTGTGAGGACACTGAGATTATGCATGCAAAGAGCTTCCCATAATGACTGACACAGAGTAGGTGTTCAGTCAATATTAATATTTTAAAAACTTGATGGGAAGAAACAGGGGCCAAGAGTCTTCTTTCTGGTGATGAGAATCAAACAGAATTTCCTTTGGGGCAAGTCTGAAAATCCTGATGCTATCGTTTGTAACACTCAGGCTTCTGCCTGAAGCCTTTCTATTCCCCATCTTAGGAATTGAACCAAACGATTATACCAAACCAAACAGCAGGATCCTGCTGGCCCATAAGGCAGAGAGGCTAGAGAAGAACTGGTTGGAGCTGGGTGGATCCTGGATCTAGCGCTGCCCAACTCTGAGGCTCTGGGCTTATATGTTAGAGTCTCAGATTTGCCTGTGTCCAATGGGAATAGCAATTGAGTCTGATGGACTATGTTCATGGCCTCAGAGTGGGTCAGAGGTGGGGAAGCAAGGACCAGGGAGGCCTGGACCAGGGTCAGACCCAGGGGTCAGAGTGGAGCAGAAGGTCCAGGCTGGAGGACTAGTAGGCAGGCTTGGGCAGCAGGACCAGGACTAGAGTGAGGAGAGTGGGCCCTGAGGACACAGAACTGAAGGGGCTGTGACCCTAGCAGAGGTCCCCTGACTGGGAGGGGGACATTTCTTCCCTCCCTGACGGGATCCCCTCATGCTGGGCTAGAGGTCCCTAGGTGACTCTGTCTGCACACCCTGCCTGGGACCTGGCTTCTCCCTCCATCCGGGACCCTCTTCTGGTCTGCATGGAGCCTCCCTGACAAGTGGAAGGCCATGTGGCTCAGGGGGCCCTCCAGGGTCACAGTGAGGGGCTGTGATTGTGTGTCATTTGAGGGATTCTGAGGAGCCTCACGCATCCCCACCCAAGAGGAAAACACTTTGTCACCAGCTGTGCAAGTGCCGGTCTCCTCAGACTCAGCCGTTCAGATGGATGTTTCCTCAAGTCTCATTAATCTTCAGAGGATCCACAAAGTTGCCCATGACCTTGGGGTGCAGGGTCATGAAGCTGTCACAGATTAACATGTGACACCTGAGAGGTCAGTGGTGCTGAGTGCTGGGTCAGGAGTCAGTGAGGTGGGCTGGAGAGTCCAAGAGGAACCAGCAACACATCTCCTGATCTCCAGGCAGCTGGGGCCGTGGATGGACTCAGGGACCTTCTGCTGGGAAGGCCAAGGACACAAGCCTTAGAAGACAGCAGATGGCAGACTAAGGGACTGTTAAGGTGCCTCCTAGTTCTGATTTGGGGCTTTTTTTTTTTCCTACAAATTCTAAGTCACAGAGACAGCCAATCTGCAGAGGGTAACAGCACAGTGCCCAGGAATATGCTTTCATTTGAACCAATGGCATATTTGGGGGATCCCCAAAACCACCCTCAGGTTTCAGAATTCCCTATAGAATAGACAGAACTCACTGAAAGCCATCATGATCCCAGTGTATCACGGGAAGCCTGTGGGTTTCCATCAGCAACAGGGCAGAGTCTGGGCGGATTTCTCCCCCGAAGCGTCTATTGTCCCCAGGATGTGTTACTGTTCTGGAGCTCGCTGAGTGGCAGGGCACAGGGAACACTGCCTGCCAGGGATACTCACCCGTTTAAAAACAAATTATTCTGACTTGTGGTCTCCAGCCCCTCCCAGAGGTCAGACGAATGTCCTAGAGTCCAGCTCCTTCAGAGGTCAGAACTGACACCATATGACCCAGAGGCCCCATCATACATCTCATCAGACTGTCCAGTGGCAAGAGGCCAGGCAGACGAGGACATTCACATCAGCCAGAATATTCTAGGGGCTTAGAGACCACTTCCCAGTAGCCAAGGGCAAAGAAATATTGACTCCTCACTACACACCGAGGCCCTTGAATACAAGTTTTCTGCTCCAATCCCACTTCTCTTTATTTGTGGTGTTTCCAACCTACCGACTCTTTGGAAGTGATGATGTTCACCTGTCTCTGAGGCGTCTTTACCAAATACCTATTTTTTCTTTTTGGCTGAGCCACATGGTTTGTTGGATCCTAGTTTCACAATGAGGGATTGAGTCATATCCAGGGCAGTGAGGGTGCAGAGTCCTAACCTCCGGACCACCAGGGAATTCCATCAAATACCTCTCTTAAGTTACCAGTATCCTAAGGTGACATTTGCTGATCTGTTCCAGGATTAAATGGGACTTCTCTGGTGGCTCAGATGGTAAATAGTCTGCCTGAAATGCAGGAGACCTGGGTTCAATCCCTGGGTCAATAAGATCCCCTGGAGAAGGACGTGGCACCCCTCTCCAGTACTCTTGCCTGGGAAATCCCATGGATGGAAGAGCCAGGCAGACTGCATTCCATCGGGTCGCAGAGAGTCGGACATGACTGAGCGACTTCACTTTCTCTTCTTTCTTTCTTTCCAGGATTGTATATGTATACATAAGTATATGAAGCATCCACAAGGTACAAAACCTGTGTTTAATGTTGAAAGCGAAAATTTTACATTTGTAAAATTCTTTTCTAATAGATTTATAATGCTAAATCCATATTTATGAATAATAGACATTATGGAATCTATTTTGCAGACAAGCAAACTACCTTTCTAATCCCTTGACCTTCATTGTTACAGGAAAGATGTGGTTGCACTACACAAATATCTAAATGAATTGAAGGGAGACTTGATAGAGAAGGACCAGAAAACGCTCACAAAAGAGGAGCTGGACAGGAGGAGGTTTCTGATTAAGTTTCCTCGGGTGAAACGGCAGCTGGAGGAGCGCATAGGAAAGCTCCACGAGCTCGCAGACAAGCTTGACAAGGACCACAAGGAGTATACCATCTCCAAAGTGGTGACCCACACCACTGGCGTTGCATCTGGTGCCCTGACCCTCCTTGGCCTGGCTCTGGCACCTGTGACAGTGGGGGGCAGTCTGGCACTCTCGGCCGCTGGGTTAGGACTGGGAGCAACAGCTGCTGTGGCAACTGTGTCCACCAGCTACAAGGAACATGTAAGCAGGTCAGCAGCCGAAACTGAAGCCAATAACCTGATGTCAACTGGCATCAAGAAATGGAAGGTTCTCCTAGAGGTACTCAGGAGCAACCCCCAAATTGTTGATGCAACAAAGAAATTGGCAGAAAGCATTAAAACAAAGATACATGACATGGAAACAGGCAAAGCCAACCCTGACTTTGTACCCAATGAAGACGACTACTTGGGCTCTGGGAAAATCATAGTCCCAGGCACCCGGCTGATAAAGAATGCCTGTTCCGTTAGCATGGCTCCAGCAGCTGTCGCAGGAGCCCGGATTGTGGGTGCAGCCACCACAGGTGTCTTTCTCCTGTTGGACGTGAACTTGCTAATAAGGGAGTCAAGGCACTTGCATGATGGTGCAAAGGACGGGTCTGCTGAAAGCCTGAGGCAGTTGGCCAGGAAGCTGGAGAGCAAGTTGCAGGAGCTCAACAAGATGTATGAACACCTGCAGTAGGACCTGAGTCAGCCACCCCCAGAGCAGTGCAGGGATCAGGATACACATGGGTCAAGGTGCAGAGATACCTTGTTAGAGAAAAAAGGAAAGGGAGAGAAAATTTTTGGAGCTGAGTATCAGGAATTTGGGGTTTCTGCAGCTGAGCACAGTAGGGGAGGGATGGATGTTGGTGACGGCTCAGGGAGTGTGAAGGAAGGAACCTGGAGCCTGGATTGAGGGAAGAGGGGGAACTAGAGAAGGGTTGGGGGTGGGGGAGAGAAACCACTTTTTCCCTTCATACTATGAAATTTTATTTTGTTTGAGGAATAGCCAATTAACAATGTTGTGAAACAAAACAGTTTCAAGTGAACAGAGAAGGGACTCAGCCATACATCTACATGTATCCATTCTCCCCGCAAACCCCCTCCCATCAGAAACTACTTTCTTTGACCTAAAGAAGTCACTGGGGGCAGAATAAAGGGAGAGGCAGGGAAACTAGCTATGAATGGGTTGTAAATGAGAGAAAGTCAAAGAGTTAGGATTGTTGGAATCCAGGAGAAGTAGCAGGAGCTCCTCTATCACCCTCACCAAGGTCTGATGTCCCAGCATGAAGAGTCTCCCCCTGAGAGACTCTTCTCAAGAGTCTCCAGCATCAACTCACCTTTGATCCCAGCAGCTTATCTTAATTAGCCAGTGACTTCTTTTGCTTGCTTGTTTCTTTAATTGAAGTACAGTTGATTTACAATATTAGTTTCAGATATACAGCAAAATGTTTCAGTTATCGTGTATCTATGTATATATCTGCTCTTTTTAATATTTTCATTACAGATTATTACAAGGTACTGAATATTTTCCCCTGTACTATACATTAAGTTATTGGTTTTTTAAATCTATTTTATGTACTGTAATGTGCATCTTTTAATCCCACACTCCTAATTTACCCCTCTGCCCCTTTGGTAACAATAAATTTCTTTTCTGTGATTCTGAGTCTGTTTTGATTTGTTAATAAATTCATTTGTTTTTTTCTTTTTTGGTTTTTTTTTCTTGGCCATGCCAAGCAGCTTTTGGGATCTCAGTTCCCTGACCAGGGAATGAACGGGGCTTCCCTGGTGACTCAGCTGGTAAAGAATCCACCTGCAATGCGGGAGACCTGGGTTTGATTCCTGGGTTGGGAAGGTCCCCTGGACAAGGAAAAGGCTACCCATTCCAGTATTCTGGCCTGGAGAATTCCAGGGACTATATAGTCCATGGGGTTGAAAAGAGTCTGATGCGACTTTCACTTTCATAGCATTAAAAACACCAAATTCTAAACACTAGACCACCAAGGTACTCCCTGTGCTATTTTTTAGGTTCTCCATATAAGTGATACTATATATTTGTCTTTTCTGTCTCAATTACTTCACTTAGCATGATCACCTCTAGATCCATACATGTTACTACCAATGGCATTATTTCATTCTTTTTTTTTTCCATTTATTTTTATTAGTTGGAGGCTAATTACTTTACAATATTGTAGTGATTTTTGTCATACATTGACATGAATCAGCCATGGATTTTGATGGCTGAGCAATATTCCATTGTATATAATGTGCCACATTGTTTTTATTCCTTTGTCTGTTGACAGACATTAAGTTAATTCCATGTCTTTCTATTGTAAATAGTGCTGCTAGGAACATTGGGGTGCATGTATCTTTTTGAATTGGAGCTTTTGTCTTTTCCAGATATATGCCCTGAATTGGGATTGCTGGACCACCTGATAGTTCTATTTTTAGTTTTTAAGAAACTTCCATACAGTTTTCCATTAACAGCTGCCCCAATTTACTTTCCCACCAACAGTGCAGGAGGCTTCCCTTTTCTCCACATATTCTCCAACATTGTTTATTTGTAGACTTCTAGACAATGGCCCTTCTGACCGGTGGGAGTGATACCTTATTGTAGTTTTGATTAGCATTTCTCTAATTATTAGCAATGTTGAGCATCTTTACATATTCCTGTTGGCCATCTGTATGTCTTCAGGAAGAATGGTCTTCAGGCAGTGACTTCTTGATGACGATGGTGGAGATAACGGTGGTGGCCGCAGTGGTGATGACAATGCGGTGGATGGAACATCTGACAAATTGCCAGGTGCTGTTTGGGTCTGGAGTGCACTGAGAGACCAGTGCACTGGTCTGGAAATTCCCATGAAATTCCCAATGTTGTGCAGTAACAAAGGTTGATTTGGAAAAAAAAAGAAAGAAAAATGAAACCAGATGGCTGCAACATGTCAAGGAACTTCGGGATGTGTCAAGGAGGTCAACAAGCCTGGGGCAAACAGACGTAGCCCATGGGACATCCAGGGGAGCCCGCGTCTTCTGACTTGGATGCTCCTCCTCCAGCCCCGGGGACCAGGATGGACACCTGAGGGTGACTGGGGGCAGAGGGCTTGTATTCAGGTGTGAGAGAGTGTCAGCCATAAACAGAGGGGCAGAGAGAGACAGCACACGCCTCACCCAGGCTGCCTTCACGTGTCACCAGACTCCTGCAGGAGTTTCTAGAACTGTCTTCCTGTGTTTACCTTGACACACTGCCCTGCCCCCACCCATCTATTCCCCACACAGGGCTAGAATTAACCTTATCATCACAGCACTATTTATGATAGCTAGGACATGGAAGCAACCTAGATGCCCATCAGCAGATGAATGGATAAGAAAGCTGTGGTACATATACACAATGGAATATTACTCAGCCATTAAAAAATGGCAAAAACCACTACAATATTGTAAAGTAATTAGCCTCCAACTAATAAAAATAAATGAAAAAAAAAAAAAGAATATCGACCTTAGCAGCACCCACCTCCAGCTCTTCCCTGGCACCCATGACTCTGAGCACAGATGCCCAAAGTCTCCCGGTGTAATAGGGGTGGAGTCCTACAGCCGTTAGTTCTAGAGAGGAGACTGTCAGCAGGAGACCTGGGAGCAGGTCCCACCCACCAACTGCCTGGCAGCAGTGTCCTCTCAACTCGGAGTGTGGTAAGAGGGGGACGGCTGCCTTCTCCCCGGCCCTCCAGGCCTTCCAGCCTCAGGCCTGAAGGTGAGCTGAAGGGTGGGGGACAGGCTGGGGACGGTGACCTGCAGAGCTCCAGACCCTCGCTTGGCCGCCCACTGGCCAGGCCCATCCTTGAGAGGGGGCAGTGAACTTCTCCCTCATCCCCACCTCTGAGCCCTGAGGTGGTGGAGGTCTCCATGGGTCCCAGTGCACTGAGGCCTCAGCAACTGGAGTAACTGGACACTGTCATTAAGGTGACAGCTTTAACCAGCTTCAGTCACTCCATTCAAGTTCCAAGAACTGGTCCAGCTGAGGTCAGTTGTCGACCCCGAAAAGGTGCCAGAGGTCAGGGTTAAGTGGCAAAGACATTGCACAGCATTGCTTCAGGTCTACTCTGTGGTGGCGGCTGTTCTCTAAGAAGGACAACAGCTGGGGGCTAGGGATTAACCTGAAGGGCATTTGCTACAACACATGTCCCTATGGATCCCATGCAACGATCTCTCCAGGTTAAATGTGAAGCCTGAGGGACAGCTGGGTCTGGGTGCCTGGCTCCCTCAGTGATGACGGCTGGACAGGGCCTGGGGACCTGACGGTGTTGCCAGCTGAGATCTGCCATCTTATTGGGGCCTGGGCATTGGTGGGAGGACCTAGACTGGGTGCTGGAAGAAGGCTCCTGGGCAGGGTAACCGGCCCACACGGGACCCTCTCCTCTTAGATAGGGCCTGGACCTCAGAGAGCGAAAGCTGAGCCTTGGGAATTTGCCCTTTCTTGTCTGAAGAGAAAATAACATTTCTATTGTAGAGGTTTTGACAAACATCATGAACTGACAGTGACCTGACCTTAAGAACAAAAGATCTGACAAGAACTTTATAAAAACTCACCACTCCCCTCCCACATCTTTCCTATCCAAGGGCTTTGCTGAGAGATTTTGGGACTTCAGGATGTTTAAGGAATGAGCTACTTCTCATCTCCTTGAATGGCCCAGCAATAAATCTTTCTGGGCCCCAAACTCTGATGTTTTGCTATTGTTTGGCTCACAGTATGTCAGGCTCTGGGACTTGCATTCTGTAACACATGCAGCCCAAAGTATTCTTCTGGACCCTGGGGTCCCCCGAGGGCAAAGCTAGATGCCATGTGGAGCCCTATCCCACGGCCACAGATACAGAGCTCCACACCACGGTCGTCTCCCAAACTGACTGTGCCCCACAGCGACCGCCGCCATGAGTCCCGTGATCTAACCGGCCAGCTCCCTGAGTCCATAGTAGGTTAAAAAAAAAAAAACAACTCACCCTAACGAATCACCTAATGCCACCCTTCCAGCAGGAATTTTCTTTGTGTTGAGGCTATAAAAATTGGCCACTGGCCCACAAAGAGCATCAAGCATGCTGGCTGATCAGTCAGCTGTCCCTGGTCCTTCAGGAAGTCTGCCCACTGTCTGAACAGCGCTCCTCACTCCCTCTGCCCTTTGTTCCCAACACTTCCTCTCTTCTAAATACCCTGTATCTGGAAATTCTTTCCAACCCTCACACAACCACATTTTTGTGGCCCACAGACGGACTCTCAGAGCTCTAGCAGCAGCCCTCGCTTCTCCCCACCAGAGGTCAGCAGCGCCCTCCCTACTTGGGACAACCAGAAATGTCTCCAGACGTCCTGGAACATCTGCTGGGTGGGGGTGGGGGGTGACACAGTTCCCTGGGTGAGGTCACACCGCTGGATCTAGCTCCGGGAAAAACCCCGGGAGCGAGGTCAGGACTGTGGGCAGGGAGGTTGGCCGGCCCGCCCCCGCCTGGAGGCGCTGACCGTGACCCTCGCCCCACAGGGCTTTCGCCAAGCGGCAGCAGCAGCTGACGGCCATGAAGGTCCTGCAGAGGAACTGCGCCGCCTACCTCAAGCTGCCCCTCTGGCAGTGATGGCGGCTCTTCACCAAGGTGGGTCTGGGGGGCTCCGTGCGGCAGAGGGACCAGCGGGCCGCACGCCGGCCTCCTGCGGGGATCGGGCCCCGGGCTGGCACTTTGCCCCTGTGTCCCCGGGCCCAGAACTTGAGCCGGGGATGGTCCTGCCCTGAGGGGTCTCGAGGGGTGTGAGCTGGGGCGTGTGTCCAGCGTGGACGGCCGAGGTGCTGTCGACCCCAACGTCCCCACGTCGGCTCCACGTAGAGACAGCACTGCCTACTCAGGAAATCTGGCTCGGGATCTGCATCTGAGGAGGTCCTCCCTAGGCTTTACAAACATCCCTTTATTATTAAAGTGTGTCAGGCTGCTTTGTTCATAAAAAATAATCTGTGGTAGTTGTAAATTTTTTTAATTTTTATATTTTTAATTTAAAAAAAAAAGGTTTCTTTTCTCCTCTTCCTATAAAAATGGTAAAATTCCTAGTCTTTATCTCTGTCCTTCCACATCTGCCTCGTTCGGTAGCTTAGCTGGTAGACCAGAGGACCGTAGAGGTGGTTAGCTGCTGTCATCCTTAGGTCGCTGGACGGATTCTGGCTCAAAGGAAGTGCTTCAAGTTTGGGGCTTTGTTGGTGTCTCAGCTGCTAAAGAATCTGCCTGCAAAAGAAAAAAAAAAATCTGCCTGCAATGAGGGAGACCTAGGTTCTCTCCCTGGGTTGGGAAGATCCCCTGGAGAAGGGAACGGCTACCCACTCCAGTATTCTGGCCTGGAAAATTCCGTGGACTGTATAGTCCACGGGTCGCAAAGAGCCGGACAGGACTAAATGACTTTCACTTTCACTTCCACATCTAGAAGAGAGTGGCTTGTCCTACCAGGTCTACACTGGTGGCTCAATTTCCCTGTATTCCTCACTGTTCTGTATGTGCTGGGTTTAGACTTATTTATGGCAAAGAAGGTATGTTTTGCACTTGGGCAGCAGGTCAGCACACAGGCCCCTGGGTCACTGTTTGGCTGGCCTGGTTGCTCAGGAGAGCTGCAGGCTCCTAGACCAAACACTTGCCAGGCCTCCAGCTGCTGACCCGTCCAGCCTCGGAGCAGGTACACTTTCGGGCCCTGGGAAGGGAGCGGCAGGAGGTGATGAGAGAGGTGGGGGCCAGCACTGGAGCTGGAGTGCTGCTTCCTGTCAGTGGGGGCCACTCCCATAGAAGTTCTGGGGTCCCTCCCCACCACTCCCAGCTGGTGGAGGCTGCAGCGCTCCCTGGCTGTGGCTGCACGCCTCCATCCCGCCCCTGTCTCTTCCTGGCCTTCTCCCCCTACTCGCTGCTGTCTCTGTGTGTCTTACAAGGATGCTAGTTGAATTAGGGCCTACTCAGAGAACCCATAATGATCTCATTACAAGAGGTTTCACTTAAAGGGTTTTCAGAGACTCTTTTCCCCATAAGGTCCCATATACAGTTGCAGAGATTAGGTCGTGGATGTACTTTTTGGGGAGCTACCATTTAACTCACTACAGGACCCACAAATATCATTCTCCCCCTTAAGGTCCTCTGGACTAATGTTCAGTCCCCAGGGCTGCCTGACCGCCCATCACACGTAAGCAGGAGAGCCCAGGGGCCACTGAGCCGAGAGTCCCTTGTGGAAGGGAGGGGTCCTTGCTCCCTCTCCAGCTGTGCTGGGGTCCAACCCCAGCAGGATCCAGGGGAACCCTCAGAACGGCGTCAGTGAATGAGAGAGAGAGCGAGACAAAGCTCGGGGCTAAGTCTGAAGTTTATTTTTGCACGGCTCCTTTATACCCTTAACAACATCTTTTTGGGGGAAGTGCATATTTCTTACACACAGGGAATCTCAAAACATTACAGCAACTTGACCTTCAACAGAAACAGGATGTCACCCACATACTTTTTCATTCACAAGTCTTTCTTATCATTTGGCCTTCAGGCTTGCTAACATTTTATGGCTTGCACCTGGTGTGACTTAAGCAACTTCAGTAGCCGACCCTGTTTTTTTTTAATAATTAATCTATTTTTTTTCTAATAAGCGTCATCTTTATGGGAACTAGATAGGATTATCGGCTACCCACTCCAGTATTCTGGCCTGGAAAATTCCATGGACTGTATAGTCCACGGGTCGCAAAGAGCCGGACAGGACTAAATGACTTTCACTTTCACTTCCACATCTAGAAGAGAGTGGCTTGTCCTACCAGGTCTACACTGGTGGCTCAATTTCCCTGTATTCCTCACTGTTCTGTATGTACTGGGTTTAGACTTATTTATGGCAAAGAAGGTATGTTTTGCACTTGGGCAGCAGGTCAGCACACAGGCCCCTGGGTCACTGTTTGGCTGGCCTGGTTGCTCAGGAGAGCTGCAGGCTCCTAGACCAAACACTTGCCAGGCCTCCAGCTGCTGACCCGTCCAGGCTCCGAGCAGGTACACTTTCGGGCCCTGGGAAGGGAGCGGCAGGAGGTGATGAGAGAGGTGGGGGCCAGCACTGGAGCTGGAGTGCTGCTTCCTGTCAGTGGGGGCCACTCCCATAGAAGTTCTGGGGTCCCTCCCCACCACTCCCAGCTGGTGGAGGCTGCAGCGCTCCCTGGCTGTGGCTGCACACCTCCATCCCGCCCCTGTCTCTTCCTGGCCTCCTCCCCCTACTCGCTGCTGTCTCTGTGTGTCTTACAAGGATGCTAGTTGATTTAGTGCCTACTCAGAGAACCCATAATGCTCTCATTACAAGATGTTTCATTTAAAGGATTTTCAAAGACCCTTTTCCACATAAGGTCCCATATACAGTTGCAGAGATTAGGTCGTGGATGTACTTTTTGGGGAGCTACTATTTAACTCACTACAGGACCCACAAATATCAGTTCTCCCCCTTAAGGTCCTCTGGACTAATGTTCAGTCCCCAGGGCTGCCTGACCGCCCATCACACGTGAGCAGGAGAGCCCAGGGGCCACTGAGCCGAGAGTCCCTTGTGGAAGGGAGGGGTCCTTGCTCCCTCTCCAGCTGTCCATGTGTGTCCGTGGAGCCTAAATGCTAATGCCCCTTCTTGTCCAGCCTCTCTTGTCACCCCTGCTCATCCCTCCTCACTGCTGGCCCCTGAGGTGGACTGTCCACCCTGGTCCCAGCAAGTGCTCACCTCTTCACTTGCCTCCACTGAGCTGTCGACTTTCCTACTGGTCTCTGATTACTGGCATTAGAGATACCATTATCCCTAACTTTATACAGTTGCTTATTTTTCCAAATAATCCCAAAGTTTCCTCCCAGACTATGGTTGTGAATACAAAGCCAGAAATATCTATGTTAATTATCTGGCTGTGGTCCCCTGGGGTGATGGTGAGATGCTCAGAGGGGAACTGTAGGGGGATAAATAAACACAAGAGCAAAGGAGATCAGATCCTATGCTGTGTCCCAGCATCTCCCTTCTATATGCCAGCAATGGGCATTTAGAGACAGAGGATGACGTGGTGGCCAGGTTGATGAACTTTGTTCTCTAATTGTTGAGCAAATAAAAAGGCTTTAGCTTCCTGTTAAGGTTTTATAAAACACTGCAGTGAGATCAGTCTAGAGAGATCAACAGAAAAGATGACACTGATTCTATTCTTTGAATAATTTTTCAACAGTGACCAGGTAATATCTTTTAGTTTTTTTCCTGCGAAAATGTCATACTTTTTTCTGAATTAGCGGCTGTAGAAGAGACCAATAGAAAGAAAAGTGAAGTTACTCATCATGTCCAACTCTTTGCGACCCCATGGACTGTAGCCTTCCAGGCTCCTCCATCCATGGGATTCTCCAAGCAAGAATACTAGAGTGGGTTGCCATTTCCTTCTCCAGGGGATCTTCCTGACCCAGTGATCAAACCCAGGTCTCCCGCACTGCGTGAGATTCTTTACTGTCCGAGACACCAGGGAAGCCCTGAAGAGACCAAATAGTCATTCCCAAATTTTCATCCTTCGCGCCTTCAAAAAAAAAAAAAAACTAAAAATTAAAAAAAAATGTTTCTAATTATAGGAAAAAACACACAACATAAAATTAACCACTTTTTTAGCCATTTTTAGTGTCCTTATTTTTTATAGAGAAGACACTGAGTTTAGGTGAGTTTATGGCAGCCCAGCCTCCCTTGTAGCTCCATGTAACCTCATTGCTAAATTCCGACTAATCAGAGGTGAGAGGAATGATGTGTGGATCTTCTAGGTCATGTCTTTGAAGGGAAATTATGAGCTCTGTGTCTTTCTCTGCTCTATTTTGGGCTGGAATGTCTGATGAAAACCAGCTTCCACATTGAACAAGACCCCTCACTGGAAATGGTGGCTGAGCAATAACAGGCTGGACTTCTGGTTGACTTACCTACCACCTACCTCCCAGATGCCTAGCAACTTGGACTTTCACGTCTGAAATGAATACATCTACATTATTTGAGTCAATATGTTGATATCTTGTGAGCCCTTTGTTACAGCAGCTCAGCATCCACATCCTAACCAATACGACACCATCCCTAGGCTTCATTCCTCCTCTAGGCTTTGAGTCTTATCCTTTCAGAACTCTGCCTCTCTGTTCAGCCCCTGTGAGTTGACCATTGCTTAGATCGCCTGTGGCTTTGACATTGACTTCTCCCAGGATCCCATGTCTGAGCCCTCACCTCTCCAGGGGATCCCAACACTGTGTCCTGTGAATCAATGACCTCTTTAGGCTGCTAAGACTCAGTTCCCACACTGGCCCAGCCCAGCTCTTATATTAGACAAGATTGAGGACCATCCCCCCACACCCACACCCATCCCTCAGCCTTCCTGTCAACTTCCACACTTAACTGGTGAAATAGACAGACAGGAATGAGAGGATGGCAACCATAGGACCAAGGCAAGGCGGTAAGAAGATTTGCGACTAACTTCTAATAGGTATGGGCATTGTTTTGGGGATGATGGAAAAGTTCTGGAATTATGTAATGGTGATGTTTGTACATATAGTGAATATACTAAAAGCTACTTTTCAATGGTGAATTGTATGTTATGTGACTGATATCTCAATTCTTTTAAATGCTACTTTTTAGA